GAAGTGTATAAGTGGAAGATGGGTATTAACAATAAGGTTTTGAGGATATCCCTTCAAGAAAGAACTCGCTAATAATGGATTCAAATTGGATAAGTTTAGATTTAGAAAGGATATAGGAAAGCATTGGTTTGGAAATAGGGTAGTTTCAAATTTAGGTTAGATAAATACATGAGTGAGAGGGGTTGGATTTGAGTGAGACTTGCATAGCATTGAAAATTGGGTTGGGCAAATATTTTGTTAGTGGAAAGGATTGTAAACGACCTGCCTAGTATGGGCCAACAGGCCTGCTGCAGTGTTCCTCCTTTCTTATGTTCTTTAAACGCCAATACGGACCAGAAAATGTCTATCGGACAAGAAAGTAGCAAGGAAGTTTGGTAGATTACCGTGGAGGCCTAAAGAGTGAGCTTGGGCTAGAATGTTATACCTCCAAGTGGTGTCATATGCTTTCTCTAGATCAAAAAAGACCACAAGGACAGTGGTTTTTAGCAAAGGCATTTTGAATATACATATCTAAGTGGAGCAAGGCATCTGAAGCCTTTGCAAAAGCCATATTGGCGAGAGGAAAGGCTATTGTGAGTCTCTAAGAACCACATCAAATGTCTATTCACCAATCGTTCCATCACCTTGCAGACTACACTGGTCAGAGCACTGGGACAATAGTGAAAGGTGTCAAGCCCTGAGGCACCAGGTTTGCGAAACGGTAGTACAATAGCCGATTTCCAGTGTTGAGGGAGATAAATGAGGGACAGAGGTGAAGCCCTTGGGAGATACGGACAAGATAGTTCCCGATTTCTGTGGCAACTTCTAGAGGTTCTGCGACATCAACTCCAGCATCCCGCTAAACAGGAGCTGGGTCCAGAGTGTACTTAGCACACAATTTCTGCACCTTTTTTCAAATCGTGCACATAGGGGAACATGAGGTAATTGTAGACACGTAGCCTCGCCAACGTGTGCGTTTAGCGACGTCAATGACGCGCCGATGCCCTTGCCTGCTTAAAATCCAACAGAAGCTCTGCAGTACGATTATATTAATAACGGCCCCACACAGCACGTTTTAAACACATTGCAAGGGCGCATGTAGGAGACCACCAAGGTACGCATGTCTGAGAATGCCTACCCGAAGTTTGGGGGACAGAATGCGTTGCCGCAGTTAGGACTAAGGTCGAAAATTGGTGTGCCAGTTCATCAATAGAGGACGAAAGGAGGTCCTCACAACAGGTGGTAAGATGGGAGTCTAAGTCCCAGTCTGCTCGAGCAAACTGCCAACGAGGGTTATAAAATGGTTGGGTATATGTAGTAGAAGTGAGAAGGATAGGAAAGTGATTACTATCATGTAAATCTGGAAGAACTGACCACTCGAAATCAAGCGCAATGGGCGAGGAACAGATAGAAAAATCGATGCAAGAAAGAGACTGAGTACGAGAGTCAAAATGGGTAGGAGCACTGGTATTTAAAACATGAAGAGGATGAAAAGTGAGAAGAGTTTCCAACTGATCACCACGAGAGTCGCAGTGGGCGTTTAAGTCATCCAACAACAAGATAGGCAGTGGTAGAGAAAAAATTAAAAATGCGATATCAGAGATACAGAATGCATGGGAGGGAGAAAAATAAAGAGAGCAAACTGCAAACCATCTGTGTAAATAAATACGAGCTGCAGTATAATGCAGCAGGAAACGAACAAAAACTTGTTGATACAGTATATCAACGTGCACAAGAAGTGCACTTTCATTAAATGATTCGTCAGGTAAAGGATCAGAAGAGTGTAACAGCACGTAGCCTGAAACGGGGCGAATGACAGAGCGAATTTTGGGCTCTTGTAACCCAACACATACTGGGAACAACTGTGAGAGTAACACTTAGAGTTCTCCTTGATTGCCCCTAAAACCATGAATATTTCATTGTAAAAAAGACATTATGTACAGAAATAAACATCAACAGTAAAGTCAGCATGTGGGGGCAACGTTTATCGGGTAAGCAGGAAGAATTTGAATATTGAGGAGGAATAGATTGTTGCGAGGGTCGTGAAATAGAAGGGGTAGAAGGAGGCGCGTTAGTGTCCATCGGGGGTGTCGTCACTGCAGTTTAGCTGTAGATAGTGTTTAACGTCTCAGTTGTTAAGGAAGCCGACGTTGCCATGATGTCAGAGACAGGAGAGGCATTGCCAGTAAAGGTTGGAGTAACTATGGAGGCAACCAAAGAGGTCTGAGAGGGGCAGGGAGTATGAACCTGGATAGATGCATTGGTTGAGGTAGAAGAATCCAGCATTATAACAGGAGAGGAAGGAGGTTGGAGGGTAACTATGGGGGAAGATGGGGGGAACAGGGAAAGAGGGGACTACATGAGGGGGGGTGAACTTCCACCTTTGTGTGAGAGCTGGAAAGGGGGTGAGAACTAGACTCTGAGGTAGAAGATAGATTCTGCACAGGTGATGAATGCGAAGGAATTGTAGGTCTGCAAGGTCTCATAGACTGAGAATCAAGCGAGCGAGATGAAGTAGAAGTAGGAAGTGGTGCGGAGGTAGGAATGTCAGAGGATAAAACCACAAAAGAATTAGAAACTAGGGCGACCCTGGAAGACATGGATGTAGAGGGATTGGGAGGCGGGAGGACTGTCGAGGTTGGAGGTCTTCAGGCTACCCAAGCATATGGGACTCAAGGAAGCTTTCCTTGACGGCGGAGCTGATAGACTGCCATAGTGTAAGGCCCTCACACTCCTTAAGATAACGATATTTCGTTCATTGCAATAAACATGGCAACAGCGTGAAAAGGAAGGATGAGGTTTCTTGCAATTGAATCAAGAGGGGGGGAAGACTGCAAGACGTATTGGAATGATCCGCTGCACTGCAGACCGAGCATTCCGCCGCATATTTGCAGTGTTTAGCGAGGTGCCCAAAATGCCAACAATTACGACATTGTTGGGGAGTAGGAACTGCTTGACGGACCTCTAAGCCTGTGATATAGACAGAGGACGGAGGTTCACGGCAGTCGAAGGTTAAACGAGCAATGTTACTAAGAAAGTACCTCCGCCCACGAGCGGGCAGGATGTTTGTATCTACCTTAAGAATAGGGAGGTTCTGAAGGGCTAATTGTTCAAAAATATCATCGCCGCAAGACAAAAAATCACTCTGTACAATGGTACGTGGCAAGACCACAGTACCACTGCAAGAATTAAGAGTAGCATGTTTACTAACGGTGACTGGTATGTCATCTATCAAAGTGATGCGGGAGAAAGAATGAGCTTGCTCTGAAGAGTGTGGAAGGATATATTTTGGCCAATGTGCCGTAAAAGAGTTTTACCAATTCCATGATGAGAAAGATAATTGGTTTGAGACGTCGTCTGTAAAGAAAAGAGTTTCGTCCATTGCTTACTGGATATCCCAGTATGCAAAGGTAGTGAGAGTCACATAGGTCGTTTTTGAGCGATTATCGATGAACTGTCGTCAGTAGGTTGTCTTGGACGTTTAGGAGTAGTACCATGGGCAGTCTGACCTGAGGGAGGCGGGCGATCAGAAAACAGTCGCACCTTATTCGGGGAAGTCGGAGGCAGTATGAAAGGCGTACTAGAAGCAGTGGCATGAATGAAAATGGGTGACGCTGCAGCCCCTGAAGCAGGTAATGAAGCGTCACTGGTAGAAGGTACAGGGGTATCAGAAGAGTTGAGAGAATGGATTGATAACGAAGCAGGGTCAGAACAGGGTGTGGGATCAGAAAGGAGTCTGGGAGGAGGAAGGGTTTCACTGGCCAAAGACTCCATAATAAAGGTGCTTCTTCTGTGATATCTCCTTTCTTGTTATTTTAAGAAAAAAAGAAAGAAGAAAAAAGAGGGATAGTGGAGAGACAGTCACTAGGAGGCATGGAGGGGCCGAAAGCTCCCCACTCATTCGAGTAGACCTCGAGCCCACCGGTGGTGAAGTTGCAGCATGGAACCTGTGCCATACCCTACCCTTCACGCCAGTAAACCAGCGGCTCCAGGTTAGCAGCCTCACGTCTACCGAACTACTTCGGCAGACAAAAGAAAGGGCAGTCAGAAACCCGCCACAAAGCATATCCCTTCGGCTCCCATCTCACAGAACCGACAGACAGCTTCCGGAGATACACCTATTACCCGAAGGGCACCCCACTCACTTCCCAGAAATCCAGGAAGGGAGCAGAGCACCTTCAGATAATTCCAATTCCACCACAAACCACACCACCCCCAAGAGACCTCATGGAGTGGGATGAACCCTGGCAAGCCATCCCCTACCTAGCAACTGTAATGCCCGGGGGGAGGACCCCAGAGGCTACAAACGGGATGGGAAACAAGGGAAGGGTGGGCAGAGGTGAGGAAAGGGGAAAAAGAGGGGTATGGGGAGGGTGAGGTAGGGAAGGGGGGATTGGGGGTAATTAGGTTCTGTCGGAGGAGGAGGACCAAGAGGTCTAATTCCTCAGACCGATAACCTCTTTACCACTTCAAGCACCCCTCTTAATTATATAAAGGAAGACTTTACTATCATTTAAATATAAGAAGAAAGATATATTTACCCAATAGTTAGATGAGGGAAGACAACAACTCCATATTTATATATGGACAAAGTTTATCAGTAGTTATATAAGAGGAGACGTAAACAAATATTCTGCCACTGTACTCATGAAATAATTTTCTTGTTTTTACTTAATTATCTACAACATTCCATGTTCAAAAATATAAAAATATATACAAATATATTTTAGCATATTGATAATTTTGAGTACAGTCTAGTTTTATCTCTACTTTGCAGGTTGGTGTTAATAAAAGCAATAATTTTATTATCATTTCCTCAAGCTACGCTTCTAGATCTTCATTCAATTTTCTTATATAAAAAGTTTACTTTTGACAACCAACTTAAGTTACTGCAAATACTATATATTACATATACAGCCTTTTTTTTTTTGCACTAATTATGATTAAAGATGCTGGAAGAACACAAGAATATTTTTTTTTTACAAAAAGACAATGGTGAAAAACATAGCGTCTCCGCCCACCTGGGTAGCAACAGTCTGGAAGCTTTCTGAAGCACCACTTATCAACTTCTTAAATGTATCTTCATCAATGTTGATGTTGAGGTCAGAATCATCACGACGAATACACACAGAGTGATCGATTTTGTCAAAATTCTTAGTGTTAATATTGTAGGTCTGCAACTTTTGTTTGATCTGTGGAATAAGAACACTGGAGTTAGTAGGCAGTTATATACATGATGTATGGAAAAGTTCTACCCTCAGAGATAAGTGTCTGCTCTAATACGAAATATATATATATTCGACCTCATCATTTGAGACATAAACGATAGGTGAGACATTCTCTATCGTTACCAAAACATTCCCTGCCAGAGCTAAGACATCTATAATAGTTGATACATAATCTAATTTGTCTAAGACATCCTCTTCCATGAGGCTGAAATATCCTCTGTCATTGATTAGAAAACTTCTAATTTCTCCCTTATCCTCATACAGCTGACTTTCTCACTTTTCTTATGAGGCGAGAGGTGGCCCGGTGGCCTGGTGGCTAAAGCTCCCGCTTCACACACGGAGGGCCCGGGTTCGATTCCCGGCGGGTGGAAACATATCGACACGTTTCCTTACACCTGTTGTCCTGTTCACCTAGCAGCAAATAGGTACCTGGGTGTTAGTCGACTGGTGTGGGTCGCATCCTGGGGGACAAGATTAAGGACCCCAATGGAAATAAGTTAGACAGTCCTCGATGACGCACTGACTTTCTTGGGTTATCCTGGGTGGCTAACCCTCCGGGGTTAAAAATCCGAACGAAATCTTATCTTATCTTATCTTCTGTTTGACTCTAGTGGTGAAAAAAATATCTTCCTGTAGTATCCGGGGTCCAAGACTGTTCAACTGCCTCCCAGCATACATAAGGGGGATTACCAATATACCCCTGACTGTCTTCAAGAGGGCACTGGACAGGCACTTAATGTCAGTGCCTGACCAACCGGGCTGTGGTTCGCACGTCAGTTTGCGTGCGGTCATCAATAACAGCCTGGTTGATCAGACCCTCATCCACCATAAGGCCTGGTCTCTGAGTCGCGGGGGCGTTCACCCCCCCGATACCCTCTCCAGGTAAACTATAAATTATGATAGTTTATCAGTACATCACTCGTGACATCGGTCCCTCATCAAGTGTCCCAGAATTAATTCCCACAACTTGAGAATATCTCTCGTGATCAGGCTCAAATTTTCAACATTGTTTATCACATTTGAAAAAAAAAATTGAATTATTATGGTCTCACTAGGAGCCAATCTTCGTATTTATTATTAAAGGTGAGGTAAATAATTTCTTGGAATAAATTTTAAATTACTCGTCTTGTTCAGTCTACACAAACGATGGTTTAAACTCTATGTCAAAACAATTCACCATTTTTTTAAATGGGGATTATTAATTTTGGTAACCTGTAAATGGAAGCTGTGATTAACTGTTAAAGTTGATGTATCTAACAAAGAATGAATCACATTGATGTCAGGATTTTTTTAAAGAAGTTAATCCCAAATTTCATATAAATTGGAAAATTGTGATTCGTGATTTCAAGGCGAAAACTCGTGAATGACTATTCTGATAAGCTTCAAACTCATAATCTATTTAGTTTTGTAGGTGTGATTTTGTCCTTTTTCTTAAAGGTGGTATCAGACTTAACCTTCTCGAGTACTAAGATCCAGTACCAACTTACTCCTCAGTGAACACAGACAACACCTGTAAGAATTGATATTTGGTGCAATGTTACATTATGTACAGGATTTATTTCTAAACTTTTATTCAGTCTGAAGGAAATGCTTATTGTGGAAATTATTTAATTTCCGAAGCTATAGTGCCTAATAAGTGTTTAATGTGTTGATTTGGGTCAAAATGTGTTTGTATTTTGAGTGGAACTAACTGGGTTCCCGCTGCGCCTGCGCAGATGTGTGGGGGAGTTAGGGGTCGAGCTGGGGCACGAGGAGGCGGCAGTGTTTTGAATGTAGTGAGGAAGCTGTGAAACATGGGATCAGGAAAATGGCGTTCACGGTGGCCTAAGGATTAATATAGGCCTAACTTCCTAATAGGAAGTGTCGTAACTGTTCCTGCTGAACAGTGAGGGAACGTGATTTACATGACCACCGTAATAAAGTGGGAAAATGAGTGGATAATAGTAGGACCGGGGGTGATGGGTGCGCCGCCATGGAATGTGTCCAGGGAAAATTACTCGTGAGTTAATCCTCACTCATCGGTCTCAGATCTTAATGGAGTGACCTCTAATGTGTATAATAATTATGAGACGTTAAATCGTCTTGTGAATGGTAATGTAATCAGTGATAATAACATTAAGTTAAGAGAATGCGGGAAGTGAAATAAATCGCCCTGATCTGAGTGAACGCGTGGTTCTCGTCCCGAGGATAGCGAAGTTTTATGGAATCACGACTTCTAAACCGGAACAAACCAACGGATACCTCGTCCTGCTGGAATAAGAACCGTGTTGGTGTAGCAGGACATCGAAATGAGATGGTGAATGGAGGAAATAAGGAGCATCAATCACCCACAGTTAAGTAACCTTTCTAGTTATAGCAGACTGATACTGGCCAGTTAGGTATGTTTTAATTGGATAGGTTATGGGTGATCCAGCCACATCAAGTGACCACCAGAGAATATCTGGTAAGTGGTGGGATTATGTACAAGTGTTTTTCCTTGATGGATATATCCATGTGTAATCTACCCTCCCCCCCCCCTTCATTCAGTTAAACTAATATAATCTATACAGTCCACAATTAATTAGTAGTGCCGTACTTGAGGGTGCTACCCAATTTATACTGGTCTCGGATAGATATGGATAAGATTGTGAGGGTCGAGGGGCCACCTGCAGTGACCAGAGGTGGTTAAGTTTTCTCACATGTCTACACGAGGTGACTACGGTAAACAATATAGTTGTTGTCTCCCAAGGAGATTACTGGTATGCATGTAATGTTGAGGTATGTACAAGTAATCACCCCTATAAAATTTTGCGTATTTGCCCACTGGTCCTTCAAACCGGATGCAATCAGTGAAAAATTGAATTAATTACTTAATAATTAAGTGACTGATTGAAGAAAGTGGGTATAGAGTACACAAATTTAATCGGTCGTGTGGTGGATGATAATTAGCTCAATTAATTACTAGCACATGGGTGGCTAGGATTTATACAAGAGTAAAGTGCAAGAATTACTCTCACAAGGTGTCTACTTAAGTTGTATAATTGGTGATTATTAATTCCCTAACCATGGCTGGGTCTGAGGAAGTTAGTGCGGCTGGCAAGTCCATGGATGCCAAAGCAAAGAAAGCGTCACTACAAGCTCGGAAGGGTCATCTTACTAAATCATACAACAAGTGTATGGAGTTAATGAGACAAGAAACGGTAAACCCTGATGAATTAAAGCTACACCTAGATGCCTTAGAAAGTACATATGAGTCATATAAATTGTGGTATAAGGACTGTGAGAGCAATCTTCTGGTGAATTGTGCAGATGATGCTGAAAGGGAGCGGCTGCTGGATCAATATTATGAAGTGGAGGACAACATTGTGTTCTGCAAAACTAAGGCTTTAGAGAAGGTAAAGGGTGTAAACAATGTTGTTGTGACCAACAGTAAGGAAAATCAGAGGTGTCTACCAAAACTCCCAGAATTATGCATGCCTGTGTTTAATCCGGGAGAAAACTGGGAGGAGTTTTGGTCTATCTTTAAAGCAGTCATACATGATAGGAGTGATCTTGCAAGTGTTACCAAATTATGCTATTTAAAGGGACAAGTAAGGGGAGATGCGCATGTTCTCATACAAGCATTCCCAAATGTAGATGACTCCTATAGTGAGGCAGTTGACTTGTTGGAGGTCACTTACGGTAACTTGGAGCAAAGTAGGCTGGATCTAGTGGCTAATTTGGCTAGTTTGAAGACTCCAGATCACAACCGCAACAGCTTACAGCAATTTAGGATCAAACTAGAAAGCACTCTTAAGACCTTGAGTAATAAATATGATCTGGAGGGAGCAGAGTGGTTGTTGAGTGCCTTGATTCAGAATAAATTGAACCACAAGACAGTAGAGTGGCTATCTAACAGATATCACAAGGGTTACTTCGGGTTGGAAGAAATAAGAGTGGGACTGCAGGAGCTAATTGTCCAACTGCAGACCAGCCAACCCATTACCTCTAGGAATACCACGTCTACAGACCCCAGTGCACCTGTCAAGTTCCACAAAAGGAAACTTTATCCCAATATCAATAATCATAAGTCACCTACTAAACGGGTTACATAGGCACATATCAAGTGATAGGGGCCAGTAATAGTGGTTCTCCACATCAAAGCAAGAGGAGGAAGTACCACAATAAGGGTAGCCCAGTTGATAAGAGGTCAGGCAAAGAAAGGAGAGATTGTATCTTCTGCAACGGTACTCATTTCTCTAAGAACTGTAATGCCTATAATTCATGGGATGTTAAAGTGGAAAGATTGGAAGAGCTTGCTAGATGTATCAGGTGTCTAGGAAATCATAATGTAAGGGATTGCCGTGCTAACTTGCACCATTGTTATCAGTGTAACAAGGGAAGACACCACATAGCTATGTGTATGGGCGGATCTAATCGTAATGATGGTAACAATAGTACTGATAGTGATAATAACCCGGACACAACAGTAGCCAACGTAAAGATTGCAGCTAATGTCGGTAATGATGGCCTAGCTGAGGTAGCTTTACCTGTGTTGGATGTGGTAATTAATGATAAACGGCGTAAATCCAAAACTGTAACAGCATTACTGGATCAGGGATCACAACGTACCTTCATAAAACGTAATTGCCTTAATGGGATGAAGGTACAAATGGGAGATCCTGCTAAACTCAAGTTATCTGGCTTTCTCTCGAATAAGAAGGCCCAGTCATAAGACACTGTTTATGTAACTGTCCGGCTGGGCAATGAGAGAAAACGTATTAATGCCGTAATTGTGGATAGACTCCCAGAGAAAATATCTACAATGGGGCTTGGTAACGCTACTGAAAGGCTTTCAAGTAAGGTAAATTTGGCACCTTCTGGTGTAAATAATGATTCTGTGGGGCCAATAGATATTTTGATAGGTAGTGACCATTATGCCACCTTTGTAAACGGTATGACAAAGAAATGCGGAGTCACCCTTCTAAGGACTGCAGGAGGTCACG